CACTGCCCCTAACTACCTCACCAACCTGATTCCCAAGTACCACCCTACCCGTACCCTTCGCTCTTCACAGGACCTCCTTCTATCTTGCTCCCTGGTCTCCTCCTCACTCACACGCACGTCTGCAAGACTTCTCCAGGTCCTCCCCCATCCTCTGGAACTCACTACCCCAATCCATCAGACTGTCACCTTCCCTCCTCACCTTCAGGCGCTCCCTGAAAACCCACCTCTTCAGGGAAGCCTACCCCACCCTCACCTAACTGCTGCTCTCCTTCATTCCTCCTACCACTCCATCCCCCACAGCCACTTCCTCCTGTACCTCTACCCCCTCCCTCCTAGATTGTAAGCTCGAAAGAGTAGGGCCCTATAACCCCTCGTGTGCTGTTTGTTGTTGCTGTAATGTTTCATGTATTGTCCCCCCCTCTATTGTACAGCGCTGAGCAAACCCTTTGGCGCTATATAAACTCAATGTAATGTAATGTAATGTAATGTAATATCCCGCTCATCCTTACTGCTGCCGTCTATATTGTTTATGACCGACCTTTGGCTTGTGACTGACTCCGCTTTTGTCTTATCCCTGAACTGTTCAATCCGCTGTTGGTTTCCAGCTTGCCCTTTCCCTGGTGGGGTGATCCTGAGACTGCGACCTGGTATTCACACGCAGCCAAATCCATCTCCACCATTAGGAGCGCTGGTGAAGACCGGTGGATACTTAGACCCTGCACCTCAGGTGAGCCTGCGTCATTCCCAGGGTGACCCGCTGGTGTACCTATCCTGCTGGTTTCAGGTAAGCCCTACACTACTGTAGCAATTGGTCTCTGAACCTGACCTCACACCGTGACAGAATAATCTGGCCCAAACATGGAGGCCGCTATAGCAAATGCCATGACTCCTGTTAGGCAGCAAATTTCAGAGCTGCAAGAGTTTGATGTTACCTACTAAAAGAAATTTTCTGAACTGCAAAGTGTAGTAGAGGGGCAACAGGATGAGATCCATGCTCTGCAGAGACGATTGCTGGACTTATGTTCCCGCGCGATGTTGCTAATACACTCAAGTTCAATGGAGACCGCTGCCACTACAGGGGTTTCCTTAACCAATGCCACATTTATTTCCAGATGCAACCTGCTGCATTAAATTCTGAGAGACAGAAGGTATTATTTGTTATAAACCTCTTGACTGAGGAAGCCCCAGCTTGGGCTTCTCCTTTATATAGAGCAAGACAACGCAATGTTAAACAGCTTTGAGACTTTTGTGACTACATTGAACCAGGTCTTGGATGATCCCAACCGCTGCGCTACCGCTGAAGCAAAGCTGCATACTTTGTGGGAGGGTAGACGCCCTAAATAGTGCAGCGCTTGAAGCAATACTACGTGCAATACAAAAACTGTGCTCACATACAAATGTGTCAATATTAAATAATATAAATAATATGTTAAATCATTGAATAAAATATATCTTAAATACAGTTGCAAGAAAAAGTATGTGAACCCCTTGGGATTACGTGGAGTTTTGCATGAATTGGGCATAAAATGTGCTCTGAACGTCATCTAAGTCACAACAATAGAAGAACACAGTCTGCTGAACATAATACTACACAAACATTAGATGTTGCCATGGTTTAATTGCACATAACATGTAAACATTCACAGAGCAGGGAGGAAAAAGTATGTGAGGCCCTAGCTTAATGACTTCTCCAGAGCTAATTGGAGCCAGGAGTGAGCCAACCTTGACTCCAATCAGTGTGATGATATTGGATGTGTTGCTGACAGCTGTCCTGCCCTTAAAAAAACACACACCTGTTTTGGGTTTACTGGTTTCAAGAAGCACTGTCTGATGTAAACCATGCCTCGCAGAAAAGAGCTCTCAGAAGACCTACGATCAAGAATTGTTGACTTGCATGAAGCTGGAAAGGGTTACAAAAGTATCTCCAAAAGCCTTGATGTTCATGTGTCCACGGTAAGACAGACTGTCTACAAATGGAGAAAGTTTAGCACTGTTGCTACTTTCCCTAGGCGTGGTCGTCCTGTAAAAATGACTGCAAGAGCACAGCGCAGAATGCTGCATGAGGTAAAGAAGAATCCCAGAGTGTCAGCTAAAGACCTACAGAAATCTCTGGCACATGCTAACATTTTTGTTGACACATCTACAATAAGGAAAACATTAAACAAGAATGGAGTACATGGGAGGACACCACGGAAGAAGCCATTGCTGTCCAAAAAGAATATTGCAGCACGTTTGAAGTTTGCAAAAGAGCACCTGGATGTTCCACAGCACTACTGGCAAAATATACTGTGGACAGATGAAACCAAGATTGAGTTGTTTGGGAAGAACACACAACACTATGTGTGGAGAAAAAAAGGCACAGCACACCAACATCAAAACCTCATCCCCACTGTAAAACTGGCGGAGGGAGCATCATGGTTTGGGGCTGCTTTGCTGCCTCAGGGCCTGGACGGATTGTTGTCATTGATGGGAAAATGAATTCCAGAGTTTATCAAGACATTTTGCAGGAAAACGTACGACCCATCTATCTGCCAACTGAAGCTCCGCAGAGGATGGGTGATGCAACAGGACAATGACCCAAAGCATACAAGTAATTCAACAAAACAATGGCGGCAACAGCACAGAATATGCCTTCTGGAGTGGCCCAGTCAGAGTCCTGACCTCAACCTGATTGAAATGCTGTGGCATGACCTTAAGAGAGCGATTGACACCAGACATCCCAAGAATATTGCTACACTGAAACAGTTTTGTGAGGAGGAGTGGTCCAAAATTACTCCAGGATCATTGTGCAGGTCTGATCTGCAACTACAGGAAACGTTTGGTTGAGGTTATTGCTGCCAAAGGAGGGTCGACCAGTTATTAAGTCCAAAGGTTCACATACTTTTTCCTCCCTGCACTGTGAATGTTTACATGTTATGTGCAATTAAACCATGGCAACATCTAATGTTTGTGTAGTATTATGTTCAGCAGACTGTGTTCTTCTATTGTTGTGACTTAGATGACGCTCAGAGCACATTTTATGCCCAATTCATGCAAAACTCCACGTAATCCCAAGGGGTTCACATACTTTTTTCTTGCAACTGTATATAGTGCCACTCAAAAATAATCTCTTGACAATAGTGCCCACACAGTAAAAAAATAAATAAAAATAATAGCAGCCCCCTACAAAGGAGGATAATTTAAACAGTGCTTTAAGTGTAATAAAGTGACCACACTTCAAATACCACTCAAATAATCAAAATAACCAAAATTACGCTATTACGCAGCTTCCGGTACGCGGTGACGCACTTCCGGCGCCAGCCGCCATCTTCGTATACCCAGGAAGTTCCTTTACATGCAGTACAACCCACATATTGGTGAGGAAGGAGGACTGCGGGAACATGTGAGTGGGTTCTTCTTTTCTGTTTACTAATAATAAAGAATCTTGGCTAAAATACTAAACTTAGAGGACTCCTTTTTTGGCTCACTTGGTTGGTGAGCAATTATTCTTCAGAAGCTTCCGGTCTGGGGTAATGGGAGTCCCCTAAGAGATCCACACTGTGAGGAGAGGTACTTGCTGTCAGGAAATAGGGATCCAGGGTGATCCTGAAAGCTGTCTGGCCCTTAGGGGTCACTTGGAGGAGGTGAGGAGGGCAATTTAGCCTTAGTAGGTGAAGAGTGTGGACACGCTCACGGAATACAAGCACTATTTTGCACATTGCATGAATTTTATATCACCTGTGGATTATTTCATGGACATTTTGTTTGATTATTTGAGTGGTATTTGAAGTGTGGTCACTTTATTACACTTAAAGCACTGTTTAAATTATCCTCATATTTTTTTTTTTTTACAGTGTGGGCACTATTGTCAAGAGATTATTTTTGAGTGGCACTATATATTTAAGATATATTTTATTCAATGATTTAACTTATTATTTATATTATTTAATATTGACACATTTGTATGTGAGCACAGTTTTTGTATTGCTCGTAGTATTGCTTCAAGCGCTGCACTATTTATGATTATTGTACACACTGTTTGGGTATCAGTTTAAGTGCTGGCAGCTTTCAACGCAGGAGGACTCTTGTCTGTATATCAGGGTAGACGCCCTGTTGCAGAGTATACAACTGAATTTCGACGATGGATCTCAGATACCACCTGGAACCCAGCAGCGCAAAAGAGTCAGTTCCGGTGTAGCGGCAAGATGAGTACCCCCATGAAGATGTGTATCCCTGACACATCTGCGCATGTCACAGTTTCAGTCACGATCAATCGGTTACTGAACTGCTGCATCTGACCTTCTTGAAATAACCCCTTCGTTACAATTTCTTAATTTTCTTAACTAATTAATAATTATCATAATAATTAATAATAATGAATTGCTTAACTATGTCAGTTCTGTGCTATGGATGGTGATCGGCGATCGTCTACGTCTGCCGAAAACCGTGACATGCGCAGAGGCGTCAGGGATACACATCTTCATGGGGGTACTCATCTTGACGCTATACCCCAATCCGGCAAGGGCTCTCTGAACAGGTGAAGGATGAGCTCGCCAGAGTAGAGACTCCTAACGATCTTGAGCAGTTCATCCAATTATGCATTCGGATTGACCAGAGACTTACAGAAAGGAGAATTGGGAATGTTTGGAAGTAATGGTGGCATGCATTTCTCTGCTAATCAGTTCAGTCAGAAGGATCTAAACATTTCTTCAGATCCTAACACACCTGAACCCCTATGCAGGTAGATGCTATTAAAAGATCCATTTCTACTCAAGAGAAAGAGAGAAGACATTTGGAGACGTTATGTTTATATTGTGGGGACTCTGGGCATTACGCAGTTAATTGCCCCAATAAAGTCAAAAGAACAATTGCTGCGACTGGTGTTATCCTGCCTGAATGCATAAATTTCAATTACCCAGTCTATCTCCCCATTGATCCATGAAGAAAATAAAGTTGGTCCTAAACAGTCTCATTTTGTTGTCCCTATCAAACTTTTTACTGAGGGCTATGAAATTCCTTGTTCTTCTATGCTGGACTCTGGGCTGGGGAAACTTTTATGACATAGAGTTTGCCCACAACAATAATATTCTCAGAAGAAAACAAATATGCTCCTATTGATATGGAGAATGGTTGATGGTTCACCTTTATCATCAGGACCAGATACTCATGAAACCGTTCCTCTGGTACTCCAATTTCAGGCTGACAATTTTGAGACCATCAACTTTCAGCTGATTACATCACCTAAATTTCCTGTCATCCTGGGCATCCCTTGGTTTTCTACCCATAATCCCTCCATCAACTGGGGGAGCGCGGACTGTAAATTTTACATTCTCTCTCCCCAGCCCCCCCCACCCCATTGCGAGGAACATTGTGGAAACCATGTTTGTGGCACAAGTTCTCTACCAATCAGGGAATCACAGGCTGATATGGTAACTACACAGTCATATAACAACCTGCCTCCACAATACCATGAGTTTCGAGACGTCTGTGATAAAAATAATGCGGATCATATTAACCTCCTCATCGTCCATACAATTGTCCTATTGAACTGCTTCCAGGAGCAGAAATACCAATCAGCCGCATTTTCAATTTATCAGAACCTGAATTAAAGGTGCTAAGGGAGTGGCTTGATGAGAATTTGGAGAAGGGCTTTATCAGACCCTCAACATCTCCTGCAGGGGCAGCCCTGTTCTTTGTTGAGAAAAAAAGGACTCCACTTTGCGTCCATGCATTGATTTTAGGGGCTTGAATAAAATCACTGTTAAAAACCGTTACCCACTCCCTTTAATCGCGGAAAATGCTGGAAAGACCTGCTCTGCCAAAGTCTTTTCACAAAACTTGACTTACGGGGGGCATATAACCTGGTACACATGCGTCAAGGATAATGACATGAGAAGACTGCCTTTAGAAAACCAGATATGATTGGACACTTCGAGTCCCTAGTTATGCCTTTTGGCCTATGCAATTGCTCCTGCGACTTTTCAGCACTTCATCAATGAATGTTTGTTTGAGATCTGTTGGAACCAGTTTTGTTATTGTCCTATCTGGACGATATTCTCATCTTATTCGACAACCTGGAGGAGCATCGCAAGCATGTCTGAAACTGTATTCAAAAAGGTTTTAAGGGATGAACAGATCTGACGTCAAACTGAAATGTGAGTCTGTACAGGATCAAATCCAGTCTTGTGAGATATAGCTCTCAGATGTGATGTATTGAGCAAGATTCCCTGAAAAGATCCAGTTCAGTGTGGATTGGACTATAGTTCCTTCCTCCATGGTTTAAGCGAAATAACCAATATTTTATTGATTTCGAGCAACTGTTTGATTCCGCGAAAAAAAAAACCAAAATATAGGCAGTTTGAAATAAAACTAAAAGATAATAAAGAAAAAAATAAAAGACACTGATCAATGTATAAAGAATTAAAGAAATACATAAGGAACTGTTTCTTAAAGTAATATCACCAATAAACACCCACAGACAAAGAAAGGGAGTGCCCCTTTGCTATAGGTCAATTCCTTAGACGCAAACTGCTTATTACTAAGACTAAAGACACTTTCACATCTGCACACAATATGGTACAATCCAGCATCCCTGACTCTACTTTAGAATAAGCGGAAGGTGGATTCCTCAGAAATTGCTGACGGTGGACTTATCATGTGTCATCGAATTCTGAGTGCCGCAATAAATGCCCTAATTAATCAATATGTCAAAACAAAAGCAACTCCTTTTCGAAGTAAGTCGAAGCGACGCACTCCACAGCATATGCATCCCTGTCACATTTTTCCAGATCCTTTGATGCCTATCACTAAAGAATTTGTCATTGGATTCGCCAGTCGGTATGGGAAGAGGGGGAAGTATGCCGTGGGAGCTTAGCAAGTTTGCTTCAGCTCCATCGAGTTGCTTTAGACTAATCTATTCCTTGCAACAGTAATGCTTCCGCTGAGCTTCATTATTCTCCTTGCTTCTTTTACCGAATGGAGGCATCAGCTGAAAGGGGCTACATGAACCTTGACTGTCCCGGGAAGTTGATCTTGTAAACAATCTAGAAATCGGACCGCTTTTTTGCCAAGAGATTTTTTTTAGGAGTCACTAACTGTTTGGAGGTCTTCGCGGGCTTCTATATACATCTGTCCTACGTGATTCTGTACACTCCTTTGTATTCCGACCCGGACTCCCGCTAAGCACATCTCTATGCACATTCCCATATCCGCTTTTACCGCCCCTCATGACCCCCCTGCCCTCCTTACGTTAACTTTTTAGTGCTTCCCTTGGTGCACCCTCCGTCTCTTATCCTCCAAGGTCTCAATTATCCCCTATTTAATCATCATATTTCTCCTCTTCAGGTAGACAGGCACGTTGGATCACTGTTCTCTTTTCCCCGGTTCAATTTTATTATCTCATAATTTTGACCTGGGTCAAGAAACTAGTAAGATGCTGAATGCCTTATGCACATAACAACAGATGTCCCGTCTGGGAACCTCTCCAGAGAATCACTCTGAATGCACAAATACTGCCTCAAAAAGAAACTTTCTATTCCTAGGGAGCCACAATAGTCCTAAGGCATTCTCCTTGAATCTCTTAAAGAGGGTATGAGAATGACCCACTCTTCTCAATCATCCACACTAATATGGACATTAATCCTGACTTACAGAATGGCTTTTGGATTCAAGGACATCATCTTTAATGTACTGAATTGTTTGGTGTGTCGGAAGCTCTCAAGTTGTTCATGATTCCAGAACTTGCTGGGCATTTTGAGGAGTTTTCTAAGATCTGAAGACCACTGTTTTTTATCACGTTCCCTTTGGTGGTTGGCTGGGTACAAGAAAGAAGACTTTAATGTCAAAAGACATATGTGTCTGTTTCCTTTTGTCTTTTATTGCTATGCTTAATTAAAGAAGTTTTTGGTGACCTGTGCCATCCATGTTGACCGTGCACGTCAATTGCTAAAATTCCCCAAGCCTCTTCCCTTTGAGCAGGATTGCCATCTTCACAGAACCACAATCCACCTGTTCCATCAAAGACAAAAAGAAGCGATAAGGGGGGTCTAAGAAGGGCATTTCTAGACGGACGAAAAGCAAATGGAAGGGGACAGAGGGAACAAGGAGAGGGGGCGGTGACCTACTGTAGATGCCGCAGCCCCAAACGAGTGAAAGAATTTAACCTCCCTCAAAGGGAATGTCCACCATTTTGGTAGTTGTTGACCGTCTCACAAAAAATGGGCCCATTTTGTTCCCAGTTAAGGTGGTGCCCACTACTGAACAGACTGCTGAACTGATGGTTCGAGAAGTCTTTAAAACTGCATGGAATCCCCTGATGTATGTGGGTGTCTGACAGAGGTGTGCAGTTTACTTCAAATTCTGGAAAAGCTTTTGCTCAGTCCTTAGGATGTTACAATCAATCTGTCCTCTGCTTTTCATCCCCAGTCTAATTGGTCAGACTGAGAGAACTAATCAAAACAATGGAACAGTATCTTCGATGCTTATTGTCACTTATCTTCAGGATGACTGGGTGGACTGTCTTCCCACTGCAGAGTTTGCATACAACAATTCTAAACATAGTTCCACTTCTCAAAGTCCCTTTACTTAAAACACCGGTTATCATCCAGTTTTTATTCCTGATCTCCCTATCACAACTCCAATTCCTGCTGTTTACCAACAGACTAACTACATTGCAGGAGATTCACAGGAGAAATTGATTGAATTTGACTTTGAGGGTGAAGCTCAGGAATATTACAAAAAGGCTGCTGACAGACACCGAGAGCACTTCCTACGTTTCATGGGGTGACAAAGTTTTGGTTATCAACGAAGAATTTGAAGGTGCATGTGCCATCTGCTAAGTTGGGTAAAAAGTTTGTGGGTCCCTTTCAGATTTCTGCGCAAATCAACCCGGTCACCCTTTCGCTTAAAACTTCCTGACAGTATGAGGATTCACCCTGTTTTTTCACATATCACTACTCAAACCGTTTCATGAAAATCCTTTCCCTGGAAGAATTTTTCCACCATCCTCCACCTGTTGAGGTACAAGGTGAAGAAGAATTTGTGGTGGAGAAAATTCTTGATTCCAGGATCTTTAGGAACAAATTACAATATCTGGTTCAATGGGAAGGATATGGACCAGAAGAAAATTCTTGGAGCCTTGAGGAGAATGTTCACCGGCCTCTAGATTAACAAAAGAATTCCACCAGAGATTTCTCACAAACCTGGCCCTAAGATGTCCAGAGGACGTCCTGGGAGGAGGGGAGTAATGTTAGGGCCTGGACTTGAACCTGGGACTTCTACTGTGTTAGGCAGTAACTCTTCTCACTGAGCTACCTGGGATGCTGGAAAACACTCTGCCTGATCTAATATCCTGCCTTGTGCCTTGTTTTTCTGATGAACCTTGAACTCCTTGCTCCTCCCATGAACTTCCTCATAAAAGCCATGTCCATACACTTCCTCCTTGCCAGATTATTGTGCCTTCCAGCCAATATCCCGCTCATCCTTACTGCTGCCGTCTATATCGTTTGACCGACCTTTGGCTTGTGACTGACTCCGCTTTTGTCTTATCCCTGAACTGTTTCGATCCGCTATTGGTTTCCAGCGTGCCCCCTTTCCCTGGTGGGGTGATCCTGAGACTGCGACCTGGTATTCACACGCAGCCATTAGGAGCTCTGGTGAAGACTGGTGGATACTTAGACCCCCGCACCTCAGGTGAGCCTGCGTCATTCCCAGGGTGACCCGCTGGTGTAGGGCCTACCTATCCTGCTGGTTTCAGGTAAGCCTTACACTGCTGTAGCAATTCATCTCTAAACCTGACCTCACACCGTGACACTGTGACTGCTTGCGGCTGTACAGCCAGCTGCCCACTGTGCAAGCCTCTCTGCGCCTTGTGCATGGTCCCGCATCTTAGGACCTGCTCTCACCACCACCCCCCGCACAAATTAAATGTGCCAATTTTGAACAAGGATGGGGGTGTAGTTCTGCTTTAAGGACCCTTTTCACATTGATGCACTTTTTATGCGTTCCCTTTGACTTAAAATGGAAGGTGCTTTTCAAAAACTCCACCAAAGATGCAGCAGGCGAGACTTTTCAAAGTGCAGAGCACCTGCATAGTTACATAGTTAATCTGGCTGAAAGGAGACAAAAGTCCATCTAGTTCAGCCATTAAAAAAAAAAAAAGTTATAAAACTATACCCACAATTGATCCAGAGGAAGGCAAAAAAAAGGGCAAAGTATGATTCAATTTGCTCCTGTAGGGGAAAAAAATTCCTTCCTAATCCCCTGAGGCAACAGGATATTCCCTGGATCAACTTTACCTATAAATGTTAGTATCCAGTTATATTATGTGTATCTAGGAAAGAATCCAGGCCTTTTTAAAGCAATCTACATGGGTAATATGATATCTCTCTCTGGAGTCTATGCCTCTTTTAATAAAAGAGGATTTTGATCACTTTAGAAACCACAGCTTGGCATTGCATGCCATTATTAAGCTTGTGATCT